AGAGAGAGAGAGAGAGAGAGAGAGAGAGAGAGAGAGAGAGAGAGAGTAAAGTGTCTTGGGGTTTGGGTAGAAATGTGTCTAGCATGCCTGAAACCTTGGGTTATGTCCCAGAACTGCAAACACAATAACCTCTTAAGGCCTCTGGTTATAGCTTGGGAAGGCAGTGGTTCTGCACACATTCAGCCTAAAACTCTGGGGTTAGAGCCCCAGCACCAGAAATGGGATAGGCATGCCATTACAGCATAGCATTGCTAATTTAAATTCATTAATTGAAGGTTTTATGGAGCTTAGAGATTTGTTAGCAGGTCAGTGTAGCTAGAGTATTCCTGCCTGGCCCACAGTCAGGACAAATCTCTGTCACCCGCCAGTCCCACAGACGCTCAGACCCAACCAAGTAAACACAGAGACTTATATTGCTTACAAACTGTATGGCCGTGGCAGGCTTCTTGCTAACTGTTCTTATATCGTAAATTAACCCATTTCCATAAATCTATACCTTGCCACATGACTCGTGGCTTACCGGAATCTTCACATGCAGCTTGTCATGGTGGCGGCTAGCAGTGTCTCTGACTTAGCCTTTCACTTCCTAGAATATTTCTCCTCCTTGTCCCGCCTATACTTCCTCCTGCCTGACTAATGGCCAATCAGTTTTTTATTTACTAACCAATCAGAGCAACACATTTGCCATACTGAACATCCCACAACACTACCCATTTTCTTTTTTTTTCAAAAAGAAGGTTTTAACCTTAACAAAGTAAAATTACATATAATTTGGGAATTTGGGCATAGCTTCTCTTGCTACTTCCTGCTGGAGGAGGGCGCTGTATCTTTTGGGGACACAAAGAAAATTTTAGGATTGTGGAATAGTCCATGAGGCTGTATTGTCTGAGTCAGTTGCCTTGAATCTGATCTGGACATTAGATTATCTGGGCCATGGTGTCATCAGAGACCTTTCAGGGGGTCTTGGCTGGTCAAACCTTATGTACCTTAATCTGGAACAAATCCATAGCCTCTTGCTTTCTGTGGAAACAAAAGCAGAGTCTCCTTTCAAAGTAACACATCCTTATATCCAAATTTTAAAGTCAAGGAATCTTTAAAATAAACATATTGGTTTAACTCAACATCTTTTACGGTCAAATATTTTTCTGCAGTTAAAAATCCCAAAGACAACACAATCCCGATTCTCTGTGTAATATTCATCTTTACGATGCTAATTTTTTATATTAATTTTACTGTCTCTTTAAAGACTTATTTTTTAAAACTATGTATTTGTTTATATAACTGTATATATTACCTTTTTTGTCTCTTTCAAGCCTATGTATATTTTACACACATTGTAAACTATTACATCTGAATCTGCCTTATTGTGAATCTATTGCTTTAAACTGCAGCATTTGTAAGATTGAAACGGTGTTTTGGCTGCTGGCTCTGCCCACCTCAGCTTCCCAACATGATGGTGGTACGTTTACTGCCAGCTCTGGGAGCTATAGTGGGTCTATGCTTTTATCCAAGCAGCGTGTAGCCCAGAAAACTTTTTTTTGTTTTGTTTTGTTTTGTACTAGCAAAGGGTAAATCCACTATGCAGCTTAGATGTACCACTTGCAGAGACCTCATTCCCACCATACTGCAGATCTAGCTCACAGATAGGAACCCACCAGTAGCTCAAACCGGCAAGCTGCCGCTCATTTGAGAGAGACAATTAGAAAGCTGTTTTTACCTCCGTTTTAGAATCTTTTCTCAAGTTTTAGGTGGAAACTCTTGCCAACTCGTTGGGTGCCATTTGTTGCTAGAGTATTCCTGCCTGACCCACAGTCAAGACAAATCTTTGTCACCCGCAACTCCCACAGACGCTCAGACCCAACCAAGTAAACACTGAGACTTATATTGCTTACAAACTGTGCAGTCGTGTCAGGCTTCTTGCTAACTGTTCTTATATCTTAAATTAAAGCATTTCTATAAATTTATACCTTGCCCGTGGTGCGTAGCTTACTGGCATCTTCACATGCGGCTTCTCATGGTGGCGGCTGACAGTGTCTCTGACTCTGCCTTCTACTTCCCAGAATTCTTTACCTCCTTGTCCTGACTATACTTCCTCCTGCCTGACTACTGGCCAATCAGTGTTTTTTTTATTAACC